TTTATTATATTATTTCGCGTAGCCGCAAGTGAGTTGGCCTTACCCCCCACCCTCGAGTTATATCAGTTAAAAGGCCCGGATTATTTTGATGTAATAGTTTGTAAAACGAGTAGAATACAGATAGTCAATTTATAAATCCCCCCGAGTAATTATTGAGAATCCCCCTCCTTCTTATTATTTCAGGTCCTCCCGTCAGTTATAATCAATTTCCCTAATTTTTCAGAATATTGTAAATTCCCCAATATCGTGTCTTCGCCGGGAATTATTATATTTTAATTCCCCGGCCAAGGTCACAAATGGCGCCCGACGTGGGGCTGACCACTGTATACGGCACGCGTATTTTGTTTTGACTCCCCCCTTTAATGCCCCCGCTTTCGTTTGTTTTTCCTATTGTTCCCCAAGACTCACCGCTGCTTTGCGAAAATTCCGTCATCTCCGTGGAATTTAATCGCGTTGTCACGGAATATTAAATCCCAATTTATTTCGGACATAAATTCAGAGTTTATTTCTTGAGGCGAAGGTTGTCGTTTTGATTCCTCCCAGTGTCTCCCTTTTTCTATTGTTCCGATCCCGAGGCTTGCCGTTGCGGATTAAAGTCACCGCATTCCAGAACTGATATTTTCTTCTGGTTACCTTTATAATATTTCGTTTGATTTCGTTCAAATTTCGGTGAATTTATTTTCTCTGCCGAAAATTCCCAGGGCCGTGAAAATCGGCAACAGCCCCCGCAATGAAATAGAAATTGTTTTTTTTTGTTGTTAGGTTAGATTAAATTTAAGATTAGGACAGAATTAGAACTTCTCCTGATCCCCTCATCCCTCATTCCCCGAGTAACGATTGCCCCCCAATCCCCGAAATGATCCCCCCGGGAGCATAAGTGCAAACCCTCCCATCACCCCTACTGAACCCGAAATAATTAGTTATGGTGAAGACATGAGATCAAAATTTAAGACGTTGAACAGTCATGGGCAAAGAGCGGCATTGGATGAGCTAGAAATAAATTTTTTCGGAAGCCCAGAGGTACTGGTTGATAGATTCGTCAGATTTAAGGTTAGAGAAAGATACGGTGATAAAGTAGCGCCATGGGACAGTACAGTCGATTCATCTCTCATCCCCCTTTCGATGTTCAATTTTCCACCTCAATTTTGGGAAAATTCATCAAATAAAGATAGCGGTTTAGTTGAAAATATAACTACCAGACATACCCCTGAGTCAGAAAAAATTCTAAATACCCCAATCAGTTTTCACAGCCCTGTTCGGATCGAGTTGCCCACCCTAGCGGTTGTCCCCTCGACCCGACCCTCTCACCAGAACCCCCAAAACCCTACACCAGAATATCCTCATACCCCTCCCGAACCGATCCAGACCCTCAACCCCCATTCAGTACAATACAACCAAATTCCCCCGGGACCGGCATCGACCGTCAATCCCACATCCCCAGAATATTCCCAGATCCCTCCCGAAACTATCCAGACCCCTAACCCTCCCTTACAAAAATATCCCCAAATTCCCCCGGGACCAGCATCGACCGTCAATCCCACATTACCAATCCATCCCCAGATCCCTCCCGAACGAACCCAGACCCGCAACCCCCCTTCAGTAAGATACAACCAGACTCCTCCGGGACCCCGACAACCCCCACGACCCCAGAACCCCTGAGTTATAAAGAGAATAGGCCGACAGAACAAGAGGAAAGATTTAGAAGGACTAGATTAGCAGAAGAAATGGAAAAAATTAAAGAAAGTAGGCGAATTGAAGAACAGAGAGAAAAGGTTGAAAATAGAGTTGCATTCACAAGGTTGGGACCATCAGCTCCACAACCATTGAGAAAAAAGTATAGGAGATCAAGGAAGAGATTTGAGCAAAAAGAAAAAATGAAAAACCAGACCCCAACCCCGATAAATCAAATCCCACCTCTTATGTTCCTGAAAATCCCATGTGCCTTTAACCTGTCACATACTCCATATCCTCAACCCCTCCAAAGACAAATCCACAAACACTTTCCCCTGGCCCAAATTCCCCCTCTTATGTCTCTGAAAATTCCATGCCCCTTTAACCTTCAGCATAACTGCTCTCCTCGACCCATGAACATTTACCATCCCCCTGTCCTGGACCACATCCCACCCCTCATCCCTCTAAACGTTTATCCTTCCCCTGTCCTGAACCACATCCCGCCCCTCATGTCCCTGAATATCCCAGTCCCTGTCGAATTATACCCACCACTCACTCCCTACCTCTACCCACCCAGAAACCCAAAAATACCTCGAAGAAACCCAGGAAAGCCCGGAACTCCCAAGGAACCCAAGAGATCCCCGATCTCCAACAAACCCCAGGAACCCCAAACCAGTCCCGAAGTACCCCAGGAAAACGCCGAATCCCATGACGATCCCACTACCAAAGTACCACAAGAAGATGACGAATTCAAAAGCACCTCAGAGGACTCTATAACATCATCGAATCCCAAAAAATCCCAGAAACGACGAAGATTCCCAGCACGATTCAGAATGCGGAAGAATAACACAAGGAAACCCCGAAGATCCCGAATCCCAACACAC